CTTGTTAGAGCTCCGCCGGTCCTCTCTCCTGCCTCCCTTCCTCCCCAGCCTGCGGCCGCATCTCCATGCCTCTGGGCTGGTGAGGGAGCTCTTTGATCTCCCCACGGAGGCACATAGCAGGGCCGGCACTTGGATAGCGCTGGCCCTGCAGGGGCCGGCAGGAGAGTTCCTCTGCCGGCCTCGGCCCCACGGCCATCGCGGCCCACTGGGCATTTGCCCGGTATGCCTGATGGCCAGTCCGGGCCTGATCCTGGCAGACACGGGTAAGTTGTCAAACTATTAAATGGTTTGACTACTTACTTTTTGAAGGCGCCATGACACTTCTAACACCATAACCACTGAAGAGAATTGTAGTGGTTATTGTGCCTGGATTTTCCTTTAAAAATCTACCAGTGAGGGGGCGGGGCCTGACGGACTAACTGAACGGACGCACATCGCAAGTGCTCCTGGGCCGCACATGCCAAAACCGCGATTAAAAGCAGCCAAACAACGGGAACCAAGACAAACACCCACTGGCTACAACTAGGGGAAAGCAGAGATTCAAACGGTACCAAACTCGGTATGATACAGCCCCGGACAACCTACCAGTGACCTATTGCAGCCTACGACCACGTTAGGCGTCAGGGAGACGGGCGTCTGATTGCTGATTACCACAGCGGTTTTGGTATTCCCCCTCCCTTTGGACCAGGGGGGGGGGGATATCCCAGTCTCAGGAGATACGCTACTATTACTCCTGATGCCTATTAAGCAGCACCACGGAGCACGACCCGAGATGGCGGAGTGCCCAAACAAACCCATGTTAGAGGACCAACTGGTGACCACACAAGAGAAGCTGAACCTAATCTTTGATAGGTTCTGGGCACGACTGGCAGCGCGACCAAACCCAGAACTACACACGGCAAAAACAGCAAAACCTCTGACCAACCAACGTGGAACCACAAACCGCCCCAAGCCATCAAAAGCCCAGACTAACCTGCGACACCGCCGCAGGAGACCCCGAACCTGGAGACCACACAAGCCTGTTATCCTGCAGAAGCCCGATAAAATCAGCGGGAAGCACAGGGCAAAGAGAACCTAGGGCGAGCACCGACACCTGGGACTCAAGCAATCACAACCCCTCCAGATGGCAAATCAATATGGCAAAGCACCATGAGGCACACAGAAGGGGTCCAGCCCCACTCTTCACTACGACACAGAGCCTCACACGAAACCAGCCTAGGGCAGAGCGGTCAAGAGCACACCCATAGACGGGGAATTGGATAAGCGGGCAAGAAGACCCGGACTGCCTGCTGGCCAGCTCCGGTGACGACGCCGGCACAGACAACCCTTGAACCCTGCTACACATGGCAGACTCCTGTAAATAAGCTTACACTCACGGACACAGACTTTTGCTTGTTAATATTAGCCCTAGCACTGACTGCAACCATGCTTAGCCAGACACACTGTCTTAAGACAGGGTGCATAGAATGTCCAACTTGAAGCAAACCCGTAGCCTGTCACTATATTCCATGCCTGTACACCTATACGAGCTCACTCACTCAGTGCATAGGTCACCCACGTCAGTAAAGACAGCATGATTATCAAACCATAGAGACTCCCCTACCTACTGACACCTAGCATTAGGTTATCATCACTCGTTTATCATAATATAATAAATGTGTAAGCCTTACTATGACTAAACGACAGTAACCTATAGCAATGCAGTAATCCATTATTTATGTTCAGCATGTTATTGTCTAGTTTGAACCTGTACCTAAAAATGCGCACATAGCGCTGCCACTGTTTAGCACGTTGAAATGCACATATACGCTGTTGTGGCGTTTGCCAATATTTCTGTACCCACCTGCGCAATAAAAATAAAGAATTAAAAAAAAAAAATTACCAGTGCCCCTCCTAAAATTAGGTACTGGATCCGCCCCTGACTAAACGGTAGCTAATACCCCAGAAGTAGTTCCACTCATTGGCAATTGGCACAGAAGGGCACTTAAGGGGGAAGAGAGCACTCCACCTACATAACTTGGACAAAAGCCACACGGGCAGCTCAAAATTGAGCGCTCAGGCTTCATGATTGACAGCTGTGAGGAACTGCCTTATAACTGAAGTGAAATTCACAAATTGTTGCAGCTGTAAGTCTCTCTCACTTAAGCGAGTGGCTAATGGAGCATGCAAAGTTGTTACGGTGCTTACAGTGCCCCTTCACACGATCCCTATTCTGGAATACTAGTCCTGTTATAAGACAGGCCTTTTCTCTGCTACTCGGAGTATGTTTAAATCACCTTGACAGGTATTTGACCTTGGACAGTAAAGAAATGATTGTGATCAGCGTTCAAACATCTAAGACAAATATTTGTTCAAGCTGGCAACACCGATATCAGCTGGCACAGGGCAATGCGGGGAATACTAATATGAATAAGAAGCAAAAACTGTGCCAGGCAGGGAGTGTATTTTTTTTTTATTTGTTAAAGGATTAAAGGTGTGGCTTTCTTGAAGAAAAATTGGATCATCAAAAGAATTGCTTTACTTTGGCAATGAGTAAAATAAAAAGTTCTGAGGCCGCACCTTACTACATAGTTCCAATCATCCTATTATTATTATTATCGCCATTTATAGAGAGCCAACAGATTCTGGGAATTCTTTTAATGTATAATCCAGTTTAGATGGCCTAATCTATTATTGAGTTATCCCTGGATCAATCTGTTCCAAACTGGGCCTCAGCCTAGGCCATGATCCCGTCCCCGACAAATAGCATTCGGTATCTAACAGATTACTTATCACAGATTAATATTGTAGCAAACTCACCCCTTTAAGAGAGTTTGCCATGAGCTTTTGGAGGGGCTTGCTTGCCCGCCTCCTGCCATGTGACTATGGCCCTGGGGGTATTGCCCTTTAAAGACAGTATTTGGACATGATGGATTTTTATTATGTGGCTACTGGCCCTTCAAGCACAGTCTATGGACTTCTTTTAGAATGTGTATAGATTGTGTATAGGAAGGTGTACCCCTCCCCCATTTCCTGTCCCATTTTTCTCCAGCAGGGCGTTGTCCCAGGCACACTGCCAGACTAGTTGGAACTGGTTTGGGCTGGAAAGCCATGCTTCAGTGGGCCTAAAGGGACCTCCACAAAACTTTAAACCCCCATAACTCCCGAACCCCTGGTCCGATCTGGGTGATTTTTTGAATATGTGTCGCACCCAGATCAGGGCTATCGGGGGTGTACCCTATGTATTTGGGGTACATCTAGAACTTGGGGGAAATATCTACATTTTAATTCTGTTAACAGGTAAGCTGATGGGAGGAGATGTGTGGGTTGTATATTGTACTTTATTGGTTAATGTACTAATTATGTTGAATCCCTCCCTTGCATGGGAGAAAGCTTTAAAAGAAGGTTGTTGGGAATAAAAGTTCAGTTCTGCTTGACCTCAAAACGAAGTGTCGTCTCTTTATTGGGGGAATTTGATTGTAAGCTGATTTCCAGGAGTGTAAGCTGATTGTATGCTTTTCCTGTTCAGCTGTTTACAGCATTCATATGCTTCTCCAGTTCCGTGGTTGTGGTGTCTGCTGCAGTGCTTGGAGCCCTCAGGAAGCACTAGGAGCATCCTTCAACAGAGGTACCCAGTCTGGGTGCCAGGTGATCCGTTACAAATATTTTTTTATTTTTTTTATTTCCTTACCTTTATACATCCTTTTGTTAATTTTTTTATGTTTACTATGCATTGTATTGCAGTCATTCATGTCACTATCACGCAGACTAATTGGAATCTTTGATACAGTGTAACCCATTTTACATTGGATTGCAGATCCATTAAACCAGTCAAGGCTAAGTGTTGGAAGTAGCATTTGAAAGTTATATAGTATATTAGTGTACTATGTGCCCAACATGATCTCTTTTCTATACATAATATAATTTAGCTAAACTGGCTCAGGTTGATACTGAGTTATTTCGGGATTAACCTGCCCCGGCTCACCCTGATCCTGTAATGGGAAAATAGCATTTAGTACCTACCAGATTATTATTTATAAGAGGCCTTTTTGGCCTTTGGATTTAGCTGTGATAACGTCGTTAGTGACTTTGATAAGGGCAGTCTCAGTAGAGTGGAGGTGGCGGAAGCCAGACTGAAGAGGGTCAAGGAGAGAGATGGAGTTGAGGAAGCAAGTTAGACGGGTAAAGACTATTCTTTCAAGAAGCAGGGAGCAGGGATATAGGACAATAGTTAGAAGGAGAGGATGGGTCGAGACATTTTTTTTTTTTTTTAAGATGGGTACTACAGTAGCATGTTTAACCCCTTAAGGACCAAACTTCTGGAATAAAAGTGAATCATGACATGTCACACGTCATGTGTCCTTAAGGGGTTAAGGACAGCAGGGACAGTGTTAGAAGAAAGAGAGCAGTTGAAGATGTGTGTTAAGGAGGGCACAAGACAAGAGGAAAGAGATCTGATAAGGTGAGATGGGACAGGATCAAGCGGGCAAGTGGTGGGGCGAGAGGAAAGGATAAGCACAGCCACCTCTTGTTCAGTAGCCTGGGAGAAGGTCGGAAGTGTTGGAGAGTTATGGTTTTAGAAAGTGAGGGGCAAGGTGGTGAGAATTCTTTCCTTAGCTGTTCAATCTTGTCAGTAAAGTATCATGCAAAACTATTATCTGTAAGGTTAGTTTGGGGGGTGGCCGCAGCAGGGCACAGAAGAGAGTTAAAGGTATCAAAGAGACACCTGGGATTTTGAGAGCATGAGCTAATAAGAGAAGAAAAGTATGACTGTTTGGCAAGGGCAAGGGCTGCGCTGTATGAACGCAATATGAATTTGTAGTGTAGAAAGTCTGACTCGGTGTGAGACTTCCTTCAGCCGCGTTCAGCAGAATGGGAACATCTCTGCAAGTAGTGTGTTGATTTAGTGTGCCACGGTTGGGGGCGTATTCTCCTCGAGGTGCGTATTTGGAGAAGGGCTGCAGCGTCCAGGGCTGAGGTGAGGGTAGAGTGATATGAGGAGATAGCCAGTGAGGGACATGAGTGAGCAGGAATGGATAATAGTTGGGAATCAATATCAGCAGACAGTTGCTGGAGGTTTATAGAACTCAGATTCCTTCTGAGTTGAGGGGGGGCTAGGCTGAGGTTGTTGGGAGAGGGGGTGATTGAGAGTGGGGAATTAGCCCACTGTGATAACCCAAGTGAAGAAGGTAATAGAAAGTAGTTTTGAGGCTGCTGGGGTCAAGGGTGGTTTAATGAGAATGTTGAAGTCTCCGAGAATTACAGATGGAATGTAAGAGGAGAGGAAGTAAGGAAGCCAGGCAGCAAAGTGGTCAAGGAAGAGAAGTGGGGATCCAGGGGGACATGAAGGATAACAGCAATGTTAGCAGAGATGGGTTTGAAAAGGTGGATTGAATGAATCTCAGATGATGAGAGTTAGGGAAATGGGCGTGGGTAGAGGTTTGAAGGAGCAGTGAGGTGAGAGCAGAAACCCTACACCACCACCTTTATTTTCAGAGTTTCTTGGGTTGTGGGAAAGTTGAAGACAACCAAAGGATAAAGAGGCAGGGGTAGCAGTATCAGAGGGTGAGAGCCATGTTTCAGGTCAAGCTAGTAATTGTAGGGAACGAGAGATGAAAAGATCATGCACAGCTGTGGATTTAGTAACACTGCAAACAGAGCGTGCATTCCAGAGGGCAGTGTGGAAGGAGGATTTAAAGGAAGAGTAGAGTGAGATGGGTATGAGATTGGAGTGATTGCTGGAGTTAGCACATGATGGGTTTGCAAGGGTGGGACCGGGGTTTGGAGAGACACCACCAGCTGCTTGGAGTAGAAGGATAGAAAGGAAGAGAAGATGGGAGCAGGATTTAGAGGTTTTGTGAGAGTGTTTATATTTTGAGGATTTAGAAGGAGATGGTGGAGATAAGCTGAAAAGGTACAAGTAGAGTGCATGGGATGAATAAAAAGGGGAGGGAAGTAGGGTGGGAGAAATGAAAATTGTGTCAGCAGGAACAGGTAGGCAGAAATATCATACCAATGAGAGAAGTGAGGGTGAAAGTAAAGAATATGAGGGAAAACATTTTATAAGAAGAATCAAAGATTTTATATTCTATAGAAATA